GTAGTATGGTATCACTAGGGTCGGAGGAACTCCCTAGGTATAACCAGAATTGTCCTGTTTGTAAGTGCAACAAGTCCTAGTCTCTATCATAAAAGGAAGCACCATGTTAGAGGTTAAATATAGCATCAAGTTACTGTATGATGTTAAGACCTAGGGCATCTGCAAAAACGGCAGCAGCAGATTTGGCTTGAAATACGGATTGGTCAAAAGACCAATGGTGGCATCAAATCTGGCTTGAGATACAGGTTCATTGTAGATCCTGGACCATTGTCAGAACACCTTAAGGGAATCAATAACAGACAAACCAAAGATAGGAAGATTATAAGAATCAGACATATCCGAGTAGGACCAATTTGGGAGTAATACAGTGACAAAAAGGTAGAAAATGTAAAGAACAAGATAATACTAGATATAGTTAGATTAGGAGGCTGAAGAAACAAGACCAGATAAAACATGTGAGTGTGACATATAGGTATGATTTACAGAAGACAGTACTCCTAGCATTTGGAATATTGCATTAAGTTCAGTAGGTATTTTTGTTTATGTAGCAGTTTAATGTGTGCCATGACCGCAAGTGATTGCCAAGGTAACTGCGTGCAGGCATGCAGCGAACATGCACTTAGATGCCATAAGGGTAACCGAGTGAAGTCAGTAGTGTTAAATTAGATAGTATATAGTACTAGTAATAATCGATCTTAAAATGTAACCATAAATTTGTACTATATTAAATTAAGGCTAATAAAAACCAACTGGCATTGTTGCCAAAAAAATAAAAAATAAAAAATATATATATATATATTAGAATATAGCTACTATAGATATAAATAAATATTAATTAAATTTGTTAACTTATATTTATAATTCTTTATTTAAATTATACTTTCTTAAAAAAAGACAAGTAATTATTAATTATTGTATTACTTTATGCTTGTAACTTAAATGCCTTAGATAAGCTAAGAATATACTAATATTTTTTGTTAATTTATGGTAGTATAAAAGTGCTGTAGATATTGTAGTACAAGTATATTAATATAATAAATTGATATTTTGTAATCTATTGAGATTAAGTAAAACTAGTAACATAGTAGAATGAAATGTATAGTTAAGTTTAAGTTTTTTTTCATATACAAATCTTAAATATAGTAATTGTATAATCTTTATTATACAATAAGGATCATTGACAACATTGCACAGCTATTTATTATGCCTTAATTTATAAAAATTATCTGATCTTAATTTATTATATTAGCTTTATAATATTTATAAAACCTTAAATATGCATACTAATATTTATTTAAAATTTAGACCCACTTATTTTGCAGATCTTTATTAAGTTTTTTTGAACTTTTAAGATTTTTTTCTTTCTTAGATTTGCAGTCTTTTACTTTATTATTAGTAATCTCACCAACATTAAGTGCTGATCCTACATGTTTTAAAAGACTGTCACTGACAAGTTTAATATATAGAATAATAATAAGATAAACAACTTATTAATATTTTTTTCTAATAAATTTGTATTATATTCATTAAAATTGATAGATGAATTGTGATTGGCATAGGTTCTTTTTGTAGCTTTTTTACTATTGTTTAAATCACTTTTATCAACATTAATAGATGCATTATGATCAACATGTTTTTTATATTTAGGTTTACAGGCTCTGGTTTTACTATAAGTGTAAGCAGTTGTATTTTAAGTTTTAAGCATTTCAATTTTACCAATATTAAGTGTTAGTCCTACAAGTTTTAAAAATAATCATTGCAAGTTTAATATAATATAAAATAATAATAATAAGATAACAATTACCAACATCTTTTTCTAATAAATTTGAATCACTTTCATTAATATTAATAGGTGCATTGTAATCGAATTGTTTTTCTTTTTTAGCATTATTCAGATAACTTTTATTAATATTGATAGGTGTATTGTAATTGACTTGTTTTTCTTTTTTAGTACCTTTATTATTGTCATTCAGATCATTTTTATTAACATTAGCAGGTGCATTGTGATCAACTTGTTTTCCTTTTTTAGCATTTTTCTTATTCAGTTTACTAGTTCTATTATTAGTAAAAGAAGTTGTATCTTGAATTTTGGGCATTTTGTGACTATTAAGTGCTAATTCTATAAGTTTTAAAAAATAGTTATTGACAAGTTTAATATAATGTAGAATAATAGAATAAACAAACTTATCAATATTTTTTTCTGATAAATTTGTATTGCTTTCATCAGTATCAATCATATTATGATTAACATGCTTTTCTTTTTTAGCTCTTTTACTATTGCTGTTTAGTTTACAGACTTTGATTCTATTATTAGTAGGAACAGTTGTATCTTGTGTTTCAGAGATCTTACTAAAATTAAGTGCTGAGTCTGTAAGTTTTAAAAGATGGTTATTGATAAGTTTAATATAAAATAATAATAACAATAAGATAAATTAAGTTTATATCTATAATTGACATGATGATGAATCATTTCATATTCTGCCTAATCACTAACTATTACTAGGAAGAATGTTTTTTTTTACAAAACTAGTACAAGATAATTAAAATTAAAATATATATATATATATCAAATGCAAGTTAACTAAAATCGAATTATAAGACCTTATTTAAGAATTTTAATTTGTTAATTTATCTTATCAATGCACTTGTAATCTCAATAAGAGGCATATCATAATATTTAGTAATAGGACACAAGCAATAAAGTCTTTTAGCCACTATGAGTCTCATAGATTTTTATAATTTTATAAAATTAAATTATTATCAAATTTCTGATAAATTATAAACAACATACTATATAACCATGCCAGATTCTTTTTGGAATATAAAGAAAAGAAAGAATTTTTTAGTAATTTATATTTTCTTTATGAATACTGGCTACAAGAATATATAAATTGTTAAAAAAAAAAAAATACAGATTAAACATTTATTTGAACAATAACTTTCACCTGTTTAGAATTATCACTAGAAAATTCAATATCATTAAAAAATTGTTGTCAACTTCATTTTAATTGTTTTAATGGTCCTTTTTTAGCATTATTATTAGAAAAGTTATTTATGATTTGTTTATTTTTTACTTTTTTTATTGTTGTTTTATTATCAGAAGATTTGTCTTTGATAATATGCTCCTTTTTTATTTTACTCATTGCCATATTAGAGGTTTTATAATTAAATGATTTGTCTTCTAAAGTAGTACTTTATTTTCTTTGCTTCTCTTATTTGTTGTTACTTTAAGAGTTTTATTGAAAAAAAATTTATCTTCCATATCATGTATTTTATTTTGAGTTAATAGTATTAATAGCCTTTTGTTTACTTTTTTTGGCATTACTTTTTTTATTGTAAAAATATTTCAACTTCAGAGATTCTCTTTTTAAGCTTAGCAATCTTTTTAAAATAACTTCTTGTTCATGAATAGTTAATTTGCTAGTAAAAAAACCATTTTCTGAATTAAAAAATCATCTAATATTTCATATTCCATCATATTTATAACTGCAGCATAAAGTATTTCAAATTATTTTAAACAAAGCTTTGTATAAAAAAAGTTATATTATTTTATATTCACAAAAAAAAGAATAGGAAAATTTATAAACAGATAAAGAATGCTATATAGTGAATTATTAAAAATTATATAATTATATATCACATAAATATATAAATAGTATTTAAAAAAATTTATTAAATTGATCTAAATTATTTGTTACAATTATATAATTGTTTTCTATAAAAGTAAATTTAATTATAAGTATATCGAATTTAAAAGATGTGGTGCAGCTATGAGGTACTTTAAATATTATTGCAGTTTAACATTATTGTACTTTTTTTTTTATTACAAAGATTTAATTATTGAATTATTTTATCTCTATAGCCATCAAATAAGTCATTTAAATGATTATTAAAAGTCATTGAAATAAAAAAAATGCAATAAAAGGCTAAAAGTTCTTTGTAATTGTTTAAAATATCAAGGTCAAAACTTAGTTTTTTTTTTAACATACACATACTATCAAAAAAAGTATTCTTAAATTAATAATACTTAATTGAGCAATAATAAACAAGAAATAAGCAATATTAAACAGGAATCAAGTACTAATTCAAGTAATAGTAAACAGAAACTGAGCAATATTAAACAAGAATCAAGTACAAATGAACAAATATTAAATAATTAAATGTTGAGTAATACTGAAATTGAAGATTTAGAATCAATTACCAACTATGAATTAGATTTTTAGAAAGCTAGTAAAAAGTAACTAAGATGTGTTTTTTTGTTTTAATTATATATAGAGTATTTAGAGTATTGCAGTATATAATTCTGCTTATGCTAAAATAATTTTATATTGATCTTGTTAGAAATGGTAGTTAAATTATTTTTTGAACTCAATTATGATGTAAAAAGATATTTTTAGTATAAGCAGAATTATGCAACACAGTACCTTAGACATTCTAATTATATATATTGCTAAATTTTAATTTTTAAAACTAATATAATTTTAGTATATCTGATAATGAACTACTAACAGATTCAAATTCAGTATTAAACAGTGAATTAAGTGAAAATAGTAAGGCAAATCAGATGTTAAATATATAAACATCTTCTTTAATTCTCTAAAACTTTTTTATTCATTTAGATCATACTACTATTCAATTATCTCCTGGATTTTCAGAAGCTTTGAAACTTTTGGAAATCAAAGCTTATTTTAATATAATGAATGAAATGTATTGTAAAATAATAAATCAGAAAAAATAAAAAAACTCTTCCCTGTAGATCCCTCGACCAAAAACTCTAGGAAAGAAAACATAGAAAAACTCAGTAACTAGACT